GGGTTATTTATCGATCTGCAACCTCCCCCTGCTGCTGCTGCCGTGCAAAACCTCTGCAATACCGACCTTATACATCGCGAAGAAACCACGAGGTTCGTCAAGGGCTCTCGCATACAGAGAAGACTTCACGTCTCATTAAGCGAATCCAGTATGAACACTGAAAAATGTTTTTATAGTAAAGAGAATTTAGTTGTTTCGAGTAGTTTTAAACTAAAATAATTAATGAAAATTCATTACGACGGATGTCACACAGTTGTAGCGAATTAGAAAATTGAAGAATGGTCACTCGCTCACCTGTAATGGTTAGAATTATTTTACACACCCGTGGGTGGGCGAATTTCGTACACTCGCGTTTCCGGCAGATAAGGAAGGATATTTTTGACACGAACAATAATTTTTTAAACACTTTTCCAAGACTTTAATGACATGAATTTTCCCTACTTACTTCCTGGTCGAGATTTTCTATGAGCTGTAATGTCCCTGAATTAATAAATTTTCTATGACAAAGCAGGAATATGATGATGATTACACTGCGTTCATACATATATGCTCTCTGCTAGTCGGGCGCTGATGCGCCCCGCTAGCATATGCGCCACCGCCACCGTGGGATATGAGTGAGCCAGTTCATTAACGTCGCAAACTTTCATTTTTCACCGCCGGCACGGCCCGGCAGCCAGCAGCCCTTTGTTGCCGCCAACCTCTGCAACATCCATCATTATTTCGCACCGATTCGCCATACAGCCCATCACGATAGGAAAGGGCTGACACGCCACGGTAGCTCAAAAACGCGCACTCCTTTTGAGAAATGTTACATTTTGTTGATTTTTTAAAAAAGGAATAATAATACTACGGCTTGTTTCTTTAGGTGAAATAAGATTAGGCTGCTGGAGCCGCACCTGCCTTGCTGCGCGAGGCCGACACCACAAGATCTCTTGTTGCAGCAGAGTTGACAATGGGGCAGGGAGGGAGCGGGGAAGCGGGTCGAGCCTTGGGGTATTCTTTTAGTTTCGGCCCGATGTATAACTTTGAAGGTGTTTTTCGTCTCTCACGTTACGTTACGCCTCTGAAGGGGAGGGAGGGCCTCGGCGCGTCCACCTGACGGAGCGCTAGCGCGGGCAGAGGGCACTGCACACCGGCCTCTCGGCGCAGCCCCGCCACCCTCACCGGAAAGGCAAGGCTGCCCGCCCCGCCCCGCCACGCCCCGCCACGCCCGGCGCCTCGTTGGTGCTGATGAGGTCCATACCTCACTGCCACCCCGAGGCGCGGCCACAAACGACTTCCTCACAAACAGAGCCCTGATTTGATGACACCGTGGTAATGCACTACGAAAACACACAACTCACACACACACACTGTACAAATAGAGCGGAGCGAGACGAGCCCCCCTTTGATGACCCCAGCAGCAGCAGCAGCAGCAGCAGCAGCAGGTGCCGGCAGCTGGGCGCATGCAGCTGCCCGCGACAAGCTGACGCGACACGCACACCACCGCAATTACGCGGGCATCAATAAAGCCGTCCGTGTACGCGACACAACGTCCATCACCACGGTCACGACGATCACCTCCACAAGTCCTCAAAAATTTAAATTAATCCGACGGCATTTCAACTGAAAAATTTCGCAATCTCGCCAGACATTTTGGGATTTTTGAAAAACTTTATGATTTTGGAAAAATGAAGGGACAACCCCAGGCTTTACCACGACGTCCTGCGCTATCTGCGATGACATTGGCGGACTCACTCACGTCCCCCGCCGTGCGAACAGCGCAGGGTCACCACAATCACCACACTCGCCGCGCCGGTGATGGGGTGCCCGGTGGTGGTGGTGGTGGTGGTGGTGCCCGGTGTCACCGGCGGTGAGCAAGGCTGGCCGCGCGCCAGGTGAGATATCAGTCCATTTGGAGACGACCCCAACGCGTGCCGCGCTCATTATAGAGCGGCGTTAAGATAAGGGGCCGTTCAGAAACCATACGTGGACAAAAGGACAGTCATTGGAATCCAAGGAGACCCCCCTGATATTTGTACCTCGGGGTAAAAATATCATGGGGTTGTCATTGAAAGTTCAATGACGGTCTTTCACCTTTTTGTGACCCCATAATATTAGCACCCACACCCACCCCCTAAAAGTCACGCAGTATAGTGGAACGACCCGTAAGATGAGAGACCCGCGCGCTATCGGCCGCGGCCGTGGGTATCGTCCAGGGGTGTGTCCTTGTGACTCTGATGAGGAGAGGGCCCGGGGGCTGCCGCCCTGGCGGGTCTGGGCGTTCTTCGCTTGATTACCACTGGATTGGGCCCCAATGAACCCCACCCGGCCCTGCTGCTGTGCCTCGGGGTGCTACCGATACTCCCAGCTACCGGGCACGGTCCCGCCCCGATCCTTTGATTTTATTTTTTTTGTTTGGTTTTACTCCATTTTCTTTGGGTTCCGCCAGCATCAATTTTGTCTTCCTTCACGCACTCTTCGCATGTGACGAGCACACCGGCCCGTCGTGGAATGCAGGTGTGCTGTGCGACTGTGTAGATTTTCTGGCGGATGCGTATCGTGCCCGATATACTGGGAAAACAAAGGTGCCAAGCCAAGTCACACCTTTGCAAGAGCACTAAAGAAATCCTCACTTAAATGCCTTTGAAGAGACACGACAGGAATTTTGACGCACTAGACTTTTAACCTTTTTCAGAAGCACAACTTAGCAAATTTGTTTTTCCAGGAGCAGCGCGCAGCCCTCGTTGACGTCAGCTTCTTCACCCCACCCCACTCCGACGACCCTTGCCGTCGTCGTTCCGAACGCGGCCGCGCGTAGATCGAAACAAATAAATCGGTCGAGGGATCGAAGTCCAAATTAGATTCCATATTTCGTGGCCGTTATTGCCCGGCCCTCGCCCGTATCGCCCCGAGCAGATGGAGGCTACGTGACTCGCGGTGGGGCTTGTAAGTCACTCTCTTTATCCGTGTTCATTTAATTTTTAATCTGCTACCGTGTATAGTGTGCGCCCGCCACCCACAGCACACGGTAGCCGGCCCCGCCCTGCGGCTGCATATTAATAGCCCGATCACATTGTCATTACAGTACGACAGAAATTCTATAACACTGCTGAGGCGAGCTGCATGTTTCTGTTGCTTCCTCGTCGAAAATTCGACACAATCAGGTTGTGTGTAAATAGAAAAATTGTTTTGTTGACAAGCGACGCCACTGCGCGCGCCGCCATCGCGGCGGCGGCTGTGCGAACGAGCTATCCATCAAAATTGGTTCGATAGGAAGACAGCTTTGCAGCCTTCAATAATCTGGACGTTATCCATGAAATCCATGAATAAATACGTACCAAGTGGTCGGTACAGCGTCCAGTGGTCCCGCTGCACGGCGCCCCTCGCTACTGGTCTTGCGTTAATCAAGCGCATGATATATGGGGGACAGGGCCCGAGGACTGGCCAGGACCCGCTGAGCGTCCGCCCGAGCGTCCGGCGGCCGCGTGGCCCGCGAGTGTGATGGCGAGGCGCGTAGTTCGGCCCGCCGCGCGACCGCCCGGCCCGGCCTGCAGGCGACCAAACGCTGTTTCATTTTGAGTTATAATGTGAGGGCTGGGAAGAACATTATAGCGAGAAGCCGCTACTGTATTGTCAGTAACAAAGGTAAGCTACTACAGAATGTTCATTTTTCAGGTCCGAAAGCTTTGTTAGAATGACTTGCAATACTTTTAATAAATGCAATGAGAATATTATTTTCTTTTAAAAATATATAGACAGGGAAGCGGCATACTTAAAGTAATTTCTCTTTCAAATCAAGCTCTTTATTATGTAACGGAGCAGACAGAATGACAGTGAAGACAAAAGTTAGAAGGGTCAAGTACATAGACCAAACTAGGAGAAATAGTACCATTGTTTTTTAAGACACTAATTATAATTTTTTTCGCACAGGCAAATCTTATTCAAGCGATTGCCGACTTGCATTTACGACTTCCACAAACAACAAAATTTCGGTAAAAATACTCTGACAAGTGCTAAGCAAATGCTGGTCGGTAAGAAGTAAAAAATATGAAGAGAGGCCTTCATATTGAAGCACAAAAACAACTAGTTTTCAATGTATTTTACATTAACCAGCACATAAAAGGGTTTCTGCTTAATTAATGCCGAAGAACGTCAATTCAAAACCTCCAAACGCTGTTAGTAAAAGACATTGTAGTACTAGAAATAAGAGTCGCCCTCCACTTCGAAAATTCCATTTACAAGGCTGGTCCAACGCACCTCGTTATTTCTGTGACAACCCAGTTTGCAAATATCACAACATGTTTTATAATTAAGGGTACAGGTTTGCGGGTCTAGCAACACGCTCTTAAACTCCTTGTGCAGAAACATATCCCGAAAACTTTTGTCGTGCAGCCAGTAATGCAGGCACCCTTGAAGGCCAAACCCAAGTCGAGTTAAACGTGGGGTGGTTTCCGGCAGCAGCGTCAAGATTTCCCTCAGCTCAGATACATATAGTCTAGATTTAAGTTCAAGATACTCCAGTTTAGACTCGGCTAGTTTGGGAATAAGCTGCTCGTAAAAAGGGGAGGGCGTGCTGCACTCCTCAACAACTAACTGCAAAGTGGAGACTTTAGATTTGCCGGACTCAAAGAGAGCTGAGAGCAGGATGAGCATGTGATCAAATTTCTCAACGCACTCATCATTTCTTACACGCAAATCGCAATTGATCCCAACGTATGTAAGTTGAGTGTTGTTACGCATAAACCGCTCAACACTCTTCACGTGCTTAAAGTCCGTTAAGAATAGGGTGAAGTTAGTCAGTGATGTGCACTGCTTTAGGCGGTCGAAGCCGCTAAGGGGCGGGCAAATGAGCTTCTGAAGGTTAGGAATCATGATGAGGGCATCGACCAGACGCCCGCAGTCAAAACTACAGTCTGGCGTGAAAAAGTGCAGACACAATTCCACCTCCTCTAGGGTCGCGGCATGTCCGCGTAGCAGGTTTTCCACCGTCTCCAACATGGTGTCACTCATAAAGCCACGGATCTTTAGTTTCCTCAATGTCGCTACATACGGCTCAATGACAACGCCGGTCGGCGTAAGCTGAAAAGTGCTAATGGAAAGTTCACTCAGGCACCTCGCAGCGAATATTGCGTTTGGCAGTCGTTCCCCCGGCCATGATGGCCCATTAAGAATGACTTCCAGCTTCTTCAGACGCCCAAGCATGGACTGGTTGAGGATGATGTCGGCCAGGATGTCGGACAACGTGTCATCAACATCGACTTTCAGAACGAGCTGAGCCACCGCGCACCTCGTGCGAGCAGCAGCGACGAGGTTGGATTCGATTACGTCGAGAATTCTTTCGTCCATATTTCCTAGTTCTAGGGAGTGGGCGCAGGGAGCAAGTCGCAGGAACGGGAGCGAAAGTTCGTGCAGAAGGATGCTCCTTGAACGCCACACGTCCGGGTGGACGGCAAGGTCCCTGAGGCGGCGGCACACCTCGCGGCACTTCAGCAGTCCGTCCTTGTCCACGTACTGCAAAACCAGCAGCAGCTCGTCGTCGTTCAGCGCGTCCATCTGAAAGGCAAAAGACAGGGGAGACATAAACCACCAGGATCGCTTCCCACGTTTGCAGCTTCCTGCGCCCTGCATCTCGGCTGCAGCCTCTCATATGTTGGTGTATTGTTTACCCGTTTTACAAACAAAACGCATAAATGTTTGTCACAGCGGAACCGGAAGTGAAAAGTCATAGTTTATTTATCAACTACAACCGTAAATACTTAAGTGTTTAGTGTACCTTTATCACAGACAATACACGAAAATATTGGCGACTGAATAAACGTTCAAGTGGTGATAAGGCGATGGGGCCCAATAAACCCCTAGGTTGCCGCCTCGCCACCCTGCCGTGGCTGCATTGCCACCCCTTGGCGACCTGCACGCGGGAGGCGCGTCCTGCTCGCCACGCTGCTCGGCGGTTGCGTGGCGGAGCGGCGCCCGTCCTCATGCAATGCTGTGGCATGCACGCTGTGGCCGGGGATGTAATTTCGTCTCATGGACAAACCGGGCGGATCAGTGCGGGGCCGAGCCGGGGCCGAGCCGGGGCCGAGCCGGGGCGCCCCCGGGGGAGTCTGTCTGGTGCACGAGGAGGCCCCCATTGTGATCTAAGTACTACGTGCAGGGACACAGCCCGCTCCTGTATTACACAGGAGTGGCCCCCAGGCGCCCCGGGCACCAGCCCGATGTCTTCTGCGTGAGGCTCCGGCATGCCCCGACGGCCCGAAATTAAGCCCCTACTTGTTCTTATTGTGCCGTGTCCTCGGCGAAGGGGTGGAGGTGGAGGCTGCGTAGGGGCTGGACACGGGGGGCGGGGGCGAGGTGGGGTAGCGGCGCCGTGGATCCGTCTGAGCGTACACTGCGGCAATACGCGTGTAGGAATGTAATAACAAACACACCCGCAGGTGGACAAGTACAATACATTCACTGTTGCAGAAGTTGTGTGCCAAACTCATTCATACCGCAAAAAAAGGGCCCCACACACAAACATAAAATTTAACAAGACCAAAAATGTTTGACAGTAAGATACACATAAAAGAATGTGTTAAACCGACGTCACCTGGGTAAGTTGCTTTGAATTATGTGTGTGTCGCACATTTAACAAATTATGACACCATAAAGGTCGCACACCCTTTAGTGCGATATTTTGTCACGCACTTCCAAGTGTTCGAGTGTCAAACACTTCCATTTCAATAGCAACAAACAGCTTTTTGCTCACCTACAAGAGTGTTGTGTAACACATTTAAAACTGAGTGATTTAATTCGCTCATCAACAGGTAAGCGACATTCGCCGAACACTTGGATCCACGGCCCACCACTGACATTATCATTGTAATTTGTGCTACAATTTGAGACACAAAATAGGAAATCAATAGACAATACGCATGTGACAGTCGACTCTGTTCCTGATAGGATAGGTGAAGAAGAGGTCGGAGTACAAATGGGGAGCCATAACACAGCATCAACAAGGCGCCATGCAGTATACGAAGGGCTGCGGTAATTCGTACGTGCAGCGACATCCCGGCTACAGCCCGGCTCGGTAAGGGGTGGATTACAGTCTTTTGTGTGAATAAGGGACCGGAGTCCGCGGCGCACCTGCTAAAGCCAGCAATCACAACGACTTGCTACCGAAAACCAATCGTAATGACAATCCAAATGACGGGTACCCGTTTGTTGTCGCTCGGCTCCGAGGAGCAGCAGGGGCAGGGCCAGGCGCATGGGGCCTTGCAGCCGCCGCAAGCCCCCGGGGCCGAAAGGAATACGCGCTGCATTCGGTGGGGAAATGCATTTACCGAGGCATGATGAGTGATGCCTATCTGGTGATTGGGCGGGGGGCACAGACGTGTGTGTGTGTGTGTGAGAGAGAGAGAGAGAGAGGGAGAGAGAGAGAGAGAGAGAGAGAGAGGGGGGGAGGGGGCACCTTGATACATTCGATGTGTGGTTTTCAATTATTACGTATCAGACCCCTATATTTCGCATGAAGACCAGCTTCCGTGGCACCCCAAACTGCTCGCATATACATCAAGCTAACTCCAACCCTTGTGAATAGAAAGGTCCTCGCGCCCTCGTTAAGGTTCCTCCAGCGAGTCACCGCGAGGGGCGTCTCCCGCATTCCAGTGCGGCGGCTGTGCGGCTCGGCGGCGTCAGGCTGCTGGAAGTGCGTTCGGCGCTCCGGCACGCCGTATGGCAAAAATAATAATCACCACGTGCTGATACAGCCAGCCGGCCAGCAGAATATGCAAATGAGTTTAATTATAGGACGCTGGCGACGCCGGATTAGGGGTGGACCAGAATATGTAATTACACAGTGCTTGGGCAGGGACCTCTA